CAACTCTACAAATGATTTGGGGGAACCAGACTACCCTGGTGCTAGGGACTATCGGAACTCTCCAAACCTTTGGGGGGAGCCTGATTACCCAGATGCTGAGGATGGTCATCATCATGGCTCTTCTGAGGCACAACAAAAGGACTCTCCAAACATTTGGGGGGAGCCTGATTACCCAGATGCTGAGGAAGGTCATCATCATGGCTCTTCTGAGACACAACAAAAGAATAGGGAGTAAGTTCAGGCTTCTTCCTCCATTGGGGGTGCGGCATGGCATTTGGTTGGTGTTATTTGGAGACATGGAGAATGGGTTCCATGACCTAAAGTTGTGATGAAACTTTCATGCCTATGTAGAGACGTTATCTCTACCTACATAGGAGATAGGTAGGAGGAGCTCCTACCTTTAGTAGAACTCCTAGCCTAAGGCTTCAAATCCTTATCTGAACTTAATCTTCATCAACTTGTTTGGATAATGTGGTCTCCTAATTCTTCTTAATTCAATCCCTGCAAGATATTTAGATCCCCATTGTTGGTCCTGCCGGTGAGGCTACAAGTTAGAATTGACAATTAGAAACACAAATGTTTAGCAGAGTTTCATCAACAGGGAAATATTTAAATAAAGTCTTTTGAAGATCTAACTCCACGAAGGCAATTTAATTCCTCAGTTGCTTTTTATACAGATGCTTGAACTATTTCTGATTTTTTTTCCACTTCATTTTTTACTTCACTGAAATCATATTGTCAAGACTGCCACTTTTTATGTTTGTAGATTTGATTTCTTGACCTTCCACATTGTTTTCATAAAACTTTATCAGTGGCAGTTTTTGCCATTGTGGGTATCCCTTGAAGGCTGTTTTTTTAACGTTGAGCAGAATTTTTCCTGGGTCAGGTTCTATAGATCTAAATTCTGTCAGGATAATAATCTTCCATCAATTTTTGGTCTCAGTTGAAAGATTTACTAGGAGAGTGTAGGCATCCATGTCTTTATCTTGGTGTCCTTACTTCCTAACCCAAGACTCACACATGGTTGGCTGTCAGTGTCTGTGGAAAGGATGGTTGGGCAGTGGGTGAATGGATGACTGGAAGGCTGGCTGGGTGGGTGGATGGATGGGTGAGTGGGTGGATGGTACATAGATGGATGATGGGTAGATAGAGGATAAGTGGATGGGTGGGTGGGTGGATGGATGGATGGGTAGATGGATGCATAAATGGATCCATGACTTGCTTTGGGATGGATACTGAGCCACCATTTTGGGATTTCAGGATACTCAGGAGAACATCTTCAATCCAGCCCTCATTGCATCATGGTGCCAATGGCCCCTTTGGGAGAGAGAGTGAAGATTACCCCGACAGCATTGAAATGATACCAATGGCAGATCTGCCAGGAGATCCAGGAAATGGCCATGGTAAGCATTTGTCAAGATGAGGATCATATTCTGGGAAGAAGGTAGAATTCAGTAGACTTGGGGGAATAGCCATGAAAGAGTTGCAGCAATGAGACAAATGGTTTATCCCTCCTCTTCTGGCACCTACCTATTGGGGCTGAGCATTTAGGGTCTAGAGAATACACATGGGATCATCAGTTATCAAACAGGCCAGGTAGGGACTTTGGAAAACGGGGGTGTACATACCCTGTGCCTTTTTCAGGTGATGGACAGTTAACTAAGTTCAGCCCATTGTGGTTGTGTGGGAATGTGGGTTCAGTGTAGCCAATTCTCCAGATTTTTCAAAAGTTGGGCATCTGGGTTTTGAAGTGAAACCTGATTTTCACATGTTTCAAAATAACAAAATTTTTGACACAGACCTGGGCAAACAAGATCACTGGGGAGCTGGGTTCGGTTGCTTACTGCCATGACTGGCTCCGTTCTAGCCCATCCTTAAAGTGTTCAGGCTGTTAGCATTTGTGTGTATTCAGAAGCTACCTTCTAGAACTGTTTTTGGTTCGCAGTGAGGAAGGTACAGAAGGTTTTCCTTTTTACCCCCTACCCATCATCAATAACCACCATCAGAGCGGTACGTTTGCTATGACTGGGAACCTACATTGCCCATCATCACTCCCCAAGGCCCAGAATTTACACTGGCATTTCTGCTGGTGTTGGAGACTCTATTTGGACAAATGTATGTGACTTTCATCCACTATGATGGCACAGCCATTTCACTGCCTTTATTTGGTTAGTTATTTTTGTGGTAGAAGAACTGGGTGCAAGCCAGAGGTGCAGGGGGTGAGAGGATTCACCAAAGACAGAGTGTGGAGAACAGATGCATCTTCTGAAATACACTGCTGAGGGGAGCAGCGGGGAGACAGGAGAGGTCTGCTGTGCCTTGTGGGTCAGCTCTCTGGCTGGGGATTGAACTCGTGCTGCAGTGGCTGCTGGTAGCTTCATAGTGCTGAAACTTAACTCCTTGTGCCACCAGGGAGGCCCCTCATTTCCCTGCTTTTAATAGCTCTGTGCTCTGCCTATCCATCCCTCCCTCCTTAGGCAAGAATTCTTTAGACTCTAAGTTGTGACCTATTAGCAAGCTGTGATATTCACAGTAGACAGTCAAGAATGACATAAAATAAAAAAAAACAGCAGAATGTTAGGTAGTCAAAGTATTGTTCCATGCTGTGTCAGAGTGGCCTGGATCTCAGTGTGAGGATTTTTTTTGGGGGGCGGGGTGGTTACCGTAGAGTTTTTATTCTCTTTTTGTAATCACAGTCTCATCTAACTTTTCTAAACAAAAATTTTATTTATGTCAAACAAATGACTGTATGAATTCTATTTTAAAAAATAATATAATAGTTTATTTTTACATCATTTTGTGTCTTTTTCCATCTCAGTTATAATCCCTGTGGGCTTCCCATCACCAAATCACCTGTGTGTCATCACCAGCGCACTTCCCTCCCCTCACTGTTTTTGATCCCATTTCTTGCTCCACTCCCATAAAATGTCTCTGTTATATAATTGTTCATTATTATTATTATTTTCTCCCTTGGTCCATTGTACTCCTGCTATGAGTGAAACCACTCGGTATTTTTCCTTTTCTTTCTGGCTTAT